CAGCTTCGTTTGTGTTGTATTGGGATGGTTACTTTTGAAGTTCAGTACCTGGTCTGTGTGCGTGGCTTTTCGGTGTATTTTCGTTTGCAGTTCCCCATTTGTCTTGCGCTCTACCATGACGTCCAGGAATGGGAGCTGTTTGTTCCTCTCCTCCTCTCTGGTGAATTTTGTTCCAGTGAGGCTGTTGTTTATAAGTCTGTGTGTCTCCTCTAATTTGGTCCGTTTAATGATGGCAAAGGTGTCGTCTACGTAGCGTATCCACAGTTTTGGTTGGATTTGCGGAAGGGCAGTCCTTTCTAGTCTTTGCATTACTGCTTCTGCTATGAGTCCGGAATAGGTGATCCCATGGGTGTCCCGTTGATTTGCTCGTATGTTTGGCCATTGAAAGTGAAGTGGATGGTCAGGCATAGGTCCAATAGTTTGAGCATGTTTTCTTTGGAGATGTTTTCACTGGGGTCGTGCTCTTGTTCAAGTAGTGTTGTCATTGTTTCCCTTGCTAGTGGTATGTCTATTGATGTGAATAAGGCAGTGACATCAAACGATATCACGGTATCTTCGTCCTCTATCTTTATGTCTTTGATGGAGTTGAGGAATTCTTGGGCTGAGTGGATAGAGTGGGCTGACTTGTTGACTAGGTGCCTGAGTCTTCTTTGTAGTTCTTTGGCTAATCTGTGCCTGGTAGGGAGACTATGGGTTTGAGGGGGACTTCCGGCTTGTGCACTTTAGGGAGGCCGTAGAATCGGAGTATGTTGGTTCCTTCGGGTTTCATTCTTAAGAAGTCTGTTTTGTTGATCTGTCCTGTTCGTTTAAGTCTTTGTAGTGTGTAGAGGATTTTGTTGCCTAGTTGTGGTGTCGGGTCAGTTTGTACTGGCCGGTATGTGTTCTCGTCGGCAAGCAGTGCTTGTGCTTTGGAGATGTGGTCCCTTTTATTCATTATCACTGTCATGCGCCCTTTGTCTGTAGGTAGTATTGTGATGTTCTTGTCGTTCTTTAATCCGTCCAGGGCTTGTCTTTCCCATGTGTTGAGGGTGTTGAGTTCGCTCCTTCTGGTTAGTGTTGGGACTACTGTCTGTCTTATAGTTTGTTGTGTTTCTTCGTTGACATTGTTGGTCTTGAGTGTGGCTTCCAGTATAGCTAGGAATTCCGTTTTGTTGGCATTCCCGTAGTTGTAGTTCAGTCCTCCGGTAAGAACGGCTTTTTCCGTGCCTGTCAGTTTCCTGTCAGAGAGGTTTCTTATCCATGTGTCTGTTCTGTTGTTGTCGTTTTTGTGGGTAAGTGTGGCTAGCTTGTCTTGCAGGGTCTGTCTTTTCTTGGTTCTTGTGGTCTGTTGACTGATGTTAATGGCTCGTTCCATGTCAGTTGTCCAGTCATGATTGGTCGCTTCCTGGAATAACGTTTTTTGGCACGTAATTGTATTTGTGGAGCCGGCTGTGTGCGTCGTTTATCATTACCCTTACCATCTTGCATTTTGTTCTGCTGTTTTCCGGGCTTGTGGGTTGTTGATGGGTGGTTTGTACTTCACACTGCGTGGTGATACCTGGTTCCTGAGGCATCCATGTAGGAAACAGGACAGATCAACAAAACAGACTTAAGAATGAAACCCGAAGGAACCAACACACTCCGATTCTACGGCCTCGCTAAAGTGCACAAGCCAGAAGTCCCCCTCAGACCCATAGTCTCCCTACCAGGCACTCCATCGCACAGATTAGCCAAAGAACTACAAAGACAATTCAGGCACCTAGTCAGCAAGTCAGCCCACTCTATCCACTCAGCCCAAGAATTCCTCAACTCCATCAAAGACATAAAGATAGAGGACGAAGATACCGTGATATCGTTTGATGTCACTGCCTTATTCACATCAATAGACATACCACTAGCAAGGGAAACAATGACAACACTACTTGAACAAGAGCACGACCCCAGTGAAAACATCTCCAAAGAAAACATGCTCAAACTATTGGACCTATGCCTGACCATCCACTTCACTTTCAATGGCCAAACATACGAGCAAATCAACGGGACACCCATGGGATCACCTATTCCGGACTCATAGCAGAAGCAGTAATGCAAAGACTAGAAAGGACTGCCCTTCCGCAAATCCAACCAAAACTGTGGATACGCTACGTAGACGACACCTTTGCCATCATTAAACGGACCAAATTAGAGGAGACACACAGACTTATAAACAACAGCCTCACCGGAACAAAATTCACCAGAGAGGAGGAGAGGAACAAACAGCTCCCATTCTTGGACGTCATGGTAGAGCGCAAGACAAATGGGGAACTGCAAACGAAAATACACCGAAAAGCCACGCACACAGACCAGGTACTGAACTTCAAAAGTAACCATCCCAATACAACACAAACGAAGCTGCGTGCGGACACTATTTAAAAGGGCAACAACACACTGCAGCAACACGGAACTACGCCAAGATGAAGAAAAATACCTCTTCCAGGTTTTCAAGGATAACGGATATCCAAAGAATTGGGTCAGAAGATGCCTACACGAACAGCATCAGAAAGAGACTACACACCCCAACACACTTATCACACTACCCTATATCAGAAACACGTCAGAACTCACCACAAGACTCCTACGACTGCTGGGCATCAGAGTGGCACACAAGCCCATGTCAACCCTACGACAACTGCTCACCCGAACCAAGGACCCACTCTCCGCCATGGACAGGACCAATGTCATCTACAAGATCCCCTGCAGAGACTGCGAGAAACACTACATCGGACAAACAGGAAGGAAAGTAACAACAAGAGTACATGAACGCCAACTGGCTACAAAATGACACGACCAATACTCACTCATCTCAATCCACATGGACAAGGAGAACCACCACTTCGACTGGGACAACACCAAGATCCTGGGACAGGCCAGGCCGAGAAAGGCACGAGAATTCCTAGAAGCATGGCACTCCACGAAGCATGCTATTAATAAACACATTGAACTCGACCCCATATACATTCCACCAGGAAGGAAAACCGGAAGTGAGGCAATCCATCTCAATGGACCCGAGAGTTTAAAAACCAGGTGGGAAAACACACCGATGCTTCATGGGACACTGCACTGAGGATGTTACCAAGCATGGTAACGAAACGTCTGCAAAACAAGAAACCAGCTCAGCGGGCGAGCCAACCAACCTCAACACCCACAACCCGAGCTACAAATCTACTCCAAAACCTTTGACTTTTTTGAGGAAGTATCCAAGAAGACTGGGGGCAGAGTGGTAGACATTGTTTATTTGAACTATGGTAACGCCTTTGACAAGGTTCCACTTAGTAGGCTAATTAGCAAAGTTAGATCGTATGGGATTCAGTGTGAGTTTGCCAATTGGATGCAAAATTGGTTTAACGGTAGCAGACAGAAAGTGATGTTGAAGGGTTGTTTTTCAGAGGCTTGTGACCAGCGGTGTTTCACAGGGATTGATGCTGGGTTCACTTTTGTCATTTATGTAAATGATTTAGATGAGAATATAGAAGGCGTGGTTAGTAAGTTTGTGGATGACACCAAAATTGGTGGATTAGTGGACTGTAAAGAAGGTTATCTAAGAGTATAAAGAGATCTTGATCAATTGGGTCAAATGGGCCAAAGAGTGGCAGATGGAGTTTGAGTTGGATAAAGACAAGGTATTGCATTTTGGTCAAACAAACAAGGATAGGACTTGTACAATTTAAGTAGGGCCTTGGGATAGTTGTTGCAGAACAGAGAGACCGAAGGGTTCAGGGCATAATTCATTGAATTTTGTGTCACGTATAGTTACGGTGGTTAAGAAGGTATTTAGCATGCTTGCCTTCATTGCTCAGACCTTTTATGTATAGGAGTTGGGACATTATGTTGCGGGGTTGTACAAGACATTGGTGAGCCCTCTTTTGCAATACTGTGTCCAGTTCTGCTCGCCCTGTTATGGGAACGATATTATCAAGCTGGAGAGGGTTCAGAAGAGTTTTACCCCAGGGTGTTCCTGGGAATAGAGGGTTTGAGATATAAGGAGAGGCTGAATAGGCTGGGACTTTTTTCACTGGCACGTAGGAAGTTGAGGGGTGACCTTAGAGGTGTGTAAAATCATGAGGGGTATAGATAAGCTGAATGGCAGGTGTCTTTCTCCTAGGGTGAGGGATTTAGAGACTAGGGGAGAAAGATTTTAAAAAAGACATTGGGGCAATTTTTTCAGTGTGGTTCATGAGTGGAATGAACTTCCAGAAGATGTCGTAGATGCATGTACAGTTAGAACGTTCAAAAGATATTTAGATAAGTACATGAAGAAATATTTGGAAGGATATGGGTCAAGCACGTGCAGGTGAAACTAGTTTAGTTTGGGATTATTGTCGGCGTGGACTGGTTGGACCGAAGGGTCTGTTTTCATGCTGTATGACTGTACGGCTCTCACTGGCATTATGTTTACTCTATTAAACACTGCTAAATATTGTAGACTCTGGAAATCTGGAAGTAAAGAATGCTGGAAAGACTCAGTAGATCTGGCAACATCCCTGCTTTTCTCTCTCCACGGACAATGAATTGAATTTGACTCTCATATGGCTTTGAGGAGTCATATTCAACTTGAAACCTTAATTCCATTTCTCTGAACAGATGCTATCCAGTCAAAATTTTCCAGCACATTATGCTCTCATTTCCACACCAAAGTGGTGCTATTGTTGCTGTGATTCCCTTCCTCCTCCGTCCATCCCCAACTTTCCCTTGGAAGTGGGTGTTGAATTTGAGGTGCGCATACTGGGTATAACACACAGCTCACTCCAGCTCAGCAACAAGTGCAGACGCATTGTTGCAGTGGATAACCTGGGGATTGGAACCCTGCAACACAACATTCATATTTTGAAATAGAACAAGATGTTTCTACTGTGGTGGAAGTTTAAATGCCCCTCATTAACATATCTGAGACAGGTTTCATGTCCTGCTGTTTGGCCTCATTTGGAGAAAAGTCAAGTTTCTTTTCCAGAAGTATGTCTAATTTGGTAAAATGTTCTTCACAGGTCATGTTGATGATCTCTTTCCTTATTTCCTGAGACATGCCAAACAAGTGTTCCCAATGTTGGATTGTATGGAGGATCTGCGCAAGATCAGTGATCTGAGGTTACCGGCCAACTGGTAAGATTGTCCACTCAAATTCAATCTTTATCATTTTTAAAATAATCTCCTTTCAGACAACCTCGTGGAACATGGTTGTTACAGTTTTCACTTTCAATCAGAAAAGTCAGCAACAGCAAAGTTCCCTCTCATCCATGAAAGTGTGCAGCAAGCTTTTTTATACCACCAAATGCACAATGACACTGCATAGAAGGAATATTGGTTAAAAGACGCACATGCTCCTAGCAGCGGTATTAAAGATACCATGCATTGTAACAAAGAGGCCATGTGTCACAGACAAATCAAAGGGAACGTTATTCAATATACAGTACTATTTAACTGAGGATCAATGCATTTGTCTCTCACTGCATGCTTCTGAAGTTACTGGGTATAAATCACGATTTCAATTTCTGATTTCTCCCATTTCCTGTCTCAACTCAGGCTTCGTGCTTTCCTTTTCAAGCCCGGCTCCCAGATGGAATTTTCTGGAGGTTGTGTTTTTGAAGGATTTAATGATCAGAACCAACCACAGTAACTCAATGCTGGGTCAATTAGATCAACCAGTTCAGCTCAACAAGGAGACAGTGGTGTGGTTAAGGTTAAGGTCATCTAGAATTAGTATCACTAGACTAGTAATCCATAGGGGTCATAACATGTCAGCAGCTGGCAGAATTTAAACTCATTTGAAAAAATGAAAGCTAGTCTCAGTAATGGTGACCATGAAACTCATTGATTGTCATCAAAATGTCCTCTGCTCCTTTAGGAAAGGAAGTATGTCATTACCTCATTGGTTCTTAAGGGCAATTGAAAATAAATTCCTTCCCAGTGTCAGCTGCATCCAGAATTCAAAAAACTGTATCTCACAGCATAATATCCAGGGCAGCTGATTTGTGAATTCATTTCAAAGGAAATGGTGGACACTTCAGGAAAATTGCTGCTGGCCTGGAAAATCAATGAGGGAAGAATGGGGGGAAATATGCAACTGACTGGACACCTACTCTACACCTAAAACTGGCGTGCATTTGATGGGCTGAATAGCTTCCTTCTCTATTGTAATGATAATTCAAAAAAACAGCTTCTGTGGTCCACTTTACTGTCGTTGTTCAGAGTAAAAGTCACACACCAGCTATGCACTGTCCTGGTAATAACCACCACCCCTAGTAACCTGATCCAGCTCCATTTGAAGGAACAGTTTCTGTCTGATGCCTGAGTGTGTCTGAGTGTAATTTTCTATGTTCAACTTCTTTATGCTGTTAACTTCATGAATTCATCAACAAGTAGGGAACGCTGGCAAAACTCAGTGGATGCGGCAGCATCTGTGGAGAGAGAGTTAATGAGAAAGAAATTACTCTGAAGAAGATTTACATCAAACTCAACATTAACTGTTTCTGTCTCTACAAAAGCAGCCAGACCAGCAGAGTTTCTGCAGTGTTTTCTGCATTTTATTTCAGATTTCTAGCATCTGCATTATTTTGCTTTTATCAATGAATTCAGAATTGGGGAAGGACCATGAACCTTGGTGACTGACTGGATTTCTCCTGTTAGCTCTGCCCTTGAGTGTGTGTGGTGGTAATGTCTTCATCCCTGTTTGTGTGTCTAAGCAATATATCTAGGATGGATTTCAATGAAACATGGTACACAAGTAGAGTTGGCCAAGGGAAGTATTCTTTACCTTTTAGAGAAGATGCTTATCCACACCCTGGGACTTTTAAAAGATTTGTCAACATTGGGACAGATAGAGAAAATTATATATTTTTTTAAAGAATGTAATGTGTTTTATTTAGAATGGTGACTTGCTTTTTATTTAAATTTTTCTTTCTTTATTCTTTCATGGAAAGTGGCCATCACTGGCAAGGCAAAGCATTTTTGTTCATACCTAAGTGCCCTTGAACTGAGTGACTTGCTAGGTCATCTCAGAGGTCTGTTAAGAGCCAACCATGTTGCTGTAGGTCAGGGGTTACGTGTAGGCCAGACCAGGTAAAGGAAACATTTCATTCCCTAAAAGTCTTCAGTCAGTCAGGTACAAACCGAAAGAACTGCAGATGCTGTGAATCAGTAACAAAAACAAAGTTGCTGGAAAAGCTCAGCAGGTCTGGCAGCATCTGTGAAGGAAAAATCAGAGTTAACATTTCGGGTCCAGTGACCCTTCCTCAGAACTTTCTGAGAAAGTTTTTTCCTTCACAGATGCTGCCAGATCTGCTGAGCTTTACCAGCAACTTTGTTTTTGTTAGTGAGTCAGATAGGTTTTACAGCAATCATGGTTTCATGTTAGTTTCATGGTCACCGTGATGGAAATTAACTTTCAGCTTTTATTAATTCTGTTGAAATTCCACCAGCTGCTGTGGTGAGATTTGAACCCTTGTCCCTAGACCATTAGCCACTGGGCCTCTAGATTACTGATCCAGTGACATTATCATTGTTATCATTATGGTAAAATAATTTTATTCATTTATTATCTATTGTTTGCCCTAAGTAGTTCAATCATTTATTGTGATGTGCTTGTAGTGATATGGTTCCAGTGTGTGCTTGTTGGTATTTTGGCTAATGGTACACTTGTTTTTGGTTGTGGGAAGTATGCCTGTCTCTCACCTCAATGTTACTAATATTCAAATATATTTACTTCAAGGTACCCTGAGGCCAGAGCAATTCAGAGAAAGATCATCTTCCACGCTGGGCCAACAAACAGTGGAAAAACACATCATGCCATTCAGAGATTCTTAGCAGCTAACTCTGGAGTCTATTGTGGTCCTTTGAAACTGCTTGCACATGAGATCTATCAAAAGAGCAATGATGCTGTCAGTATGTTTGAAGAATTCTATATTGTAACTGTTTGCTGTACAGTTAGGGTTCTATGATTCTAAATGGATTGGATTGAAGAATGATTAAACATTCTATAGTCAATGTAGGTACCTTCAAATTACAGTTAGGGAGAGTATTCCATCATATTTCTAATATATTCCCATGAATTGGTGGGCAGGTTTTGAAGAGTTGGAAGGTGAGTTACTCGTCACAGAATTCCAAGCTTTCTGGCCTGCTCATGTCGCCACTGTATTTATACGACTGCTGCAGTTCAGTTTCAGTATAATGATAATAGGGGATTCATTGATTATAATGCCATTCAGTGTGATGTTCTAGAGTTGAGATGATTGACCTTGAATAGCCACAACCACCTTCCTTTGTGCCAGGTATGACCTACTTTCGCTGTAACTATTTTTTCTGCTCCAAGGTCTGTGTGCAGAAGCAGATGTATCAACAAGCTGATTGGCATGCACAGAACTCCTGAGCACACATGTGGCCAAGCAGCTTAGATGCAATGTTGGGTATGACTCCAGCTGGTGAAGTTTTCCCAATTCCCACTGACCCATTACTAAGGCCCATTAAAGCCACACTCTGTCAAATGTTGCCTTGATGTTAAGGGCAATCGTACACTCCTCTTCTCTGACGTTCAGCTGTTTTGTTCATGTTTTGACGAAGGTTGTAATGAGGGCAGGAGCAGAATGGCCTTGGCAGAAGCTAAACTGAACCTCAGTGAGCAGCTTACTGCTGTGCAGCTGATGCTTAATAGAACTGTCAACATCGCTTCACATGAGTGTAAACTGGGGTGGTAATTGTCCAGGTTGGATTTATCCTACTTGTTGTGCACAGGACATATCTGGGCAATCTCCTGCATTATTGTTAGATGCCAGTGCTGTAATTGTAAAAGAACAGCTTGGGTAGGGTTGTGGCTAATTGTAGAGCACATGACCTCAATTTTGTTGCTTGAGTATTGTCAGGGCCCATACCTTTGTAGTATTCTGTGCTGTCAGCTCTTTCTTGATATTACTTGGAATGAATCAAATTGGCTGAAAATTGGCACTTGTGATGCTTGGGAACTTTTTAGGGATGCTGGGATGGATCATCCACTCAGCACTTCTGGCTTGTCAAGTTATATGAATAATAATAAACAATATAAAAGTAATGTATACAAATATAACTCTGAATTTAAAAATGAGACTGCATACTGGTCAGCTTCCTGTGCTAGGTGTTTCCATGATGTTTATTTGGACATTTTTTCATTCCTAACTTTGTTCAAGGCTGGTGAATTTCCTGAGTGCTTTCTCTAACTCTTTGCCCACTATCTTGTTTAAATGATTTGTTTAAGCCCACCTCATCCAGTGCCTCAATAACCTGAAGGAGTCATTACTCAGTATGTGGAGGAGACCACTTGCAGGAGTGGTCTAAAATGTTTGAATTTTCCTTTTTCCTTAAACTAGAATTTCCAGTATCTGTTAGAATGAATGAACATTAACCCTGTATGGGATTGACCATGTGGATGATCTGATGCTGTTTGTTCAGGTAGCTGGTGTGAATTACCACAGCATCTGGTAGTTCACAGTCTACTGTGTCCCTGACTCGGGAAGTGAGCAGCTGACGTTCCTGCTCTGCATCCAGTGCACCCTTGCTGTGGAACTGCTTGAAGTCAGCATCAGGATGAGCTGTGAAATCCTGGTAGTGCTGTCTGTGTCACATACTCTGTTATCAGTGGCCACTTGGACATTGTACAGTCTTTGAAGTACAAGCTGTTTTCTTTGCAGCAATAGGCAGAATATTGAAAGGTGGCAGAGACTGGAGAAGTGAGATGTTTGAAAAAGAACAGTCGAGTTCCACTATAGTCTTGAAAACTTTGCCCTTTTTGCATACGCCAGTTCAGTAAACTGGGTATCATCTGGGATGTGCCAAAGTCCAAAGATGTGCAGGTTAATTGCTTTGGCCATGCTCATTTTCCCATAGTGTCCAGGGATGTGTAACCTAAATGGACCAGCCATCGTAAATGCAGGATTACAGGGTTAGGGTGGAGGGGTTGGTCTGGTTCGCATGCTCTTCGGGAGGATTCCTGTGGAGTCGATGGGCTGAATAGCCTGCTTCCACATTGTAGGGATTCTATGATTCTATTGGAAGAGTAGAATGGCTCAATGTTTAGGTATGCAACATACCTTTACAAGATGTTTGATTATTTTTGCTTTGTTCATTTGTAGGGGGTGCCGTGTGACTTGGTGACTGGAGAAGAGCGAAGCTTTGTGGATCCAGACGGGAGGCAGTCAGCCCATGTTGCTTGTACTATTGAAATGTGCAGTGTAACAACACCATGTATGTGCACACCTCTTCCTGCTTTCTCTGTTATTTGCATTTGTATAACGCCTTTTGTAACATTAATGTCCCAAATTATATCACAGCCAATGAAGCACTTTCGAAATTTGTACAGCAGCCTCCTTGCGTACAGCAAGATCGCACTAATAGCAATGTGATGGCAATCAGAAAATCTGTTTTAGAACAAGATATAGAGGGTCAGTACAGACAGGCTATCTGGGAGTATTCACTTGTCTGCTTCAACATAATATTTCCTCAATAGTGAAATAAAAGCAAAATACTGCTAATACTGGAAATCAGAAATAAAACCAAAAAGTTCTGGAAATACTCAGCTGCTCTGGCACCATCCAGTGAGAAAGAAACAAAATTAACTCTTCACTTCAAAAATGACTCTTGAAAAGTTAGATGGCAAGTGAGGGCATGGATGGGATTAGACTAGATGGTCCATGTGATTTTGGAGCATTCCATGAGTCTGATAGTCAGCTTTATCAGGTAAGAGAATGTTGTCAAGGAGAAAATATAGTTTGAATGTAGGATAAAAGCAAAATACTATGAATGCTGGAGGTCTGAAATAAAAACAGTGCTGGAAAAACTCAACATCTGTGGTAAGAGAAACAGAGTTAACATTTGAAGTTCAATATGTACTTCCTCTTCCATTCTAACTTGAAAGGAAGCTCTGTATCTCTCTGTCCATAGATGCTGCCAGACATGGGTTTCTGTAACACTTTTATGTAGAAATATAAGACTTGGGAGGTGGGATGGACCATTGCGGCCCTTCAGGCCTGCTCCATCATTCAAGAAGATCTTAGTTGATCTGTTTGTGGTCTCAACTTCACTTTCCTGTCTGCATCCCATTAGTCCTTGATTCATCTATCAAAAATGTATCTAACTCAGTCTTGAATAAAGGCCCAACCTCCACTTGCTTCTGTGGGAAAAAATCCACTCACTAACAACTGTGCGAGAAAAAATAATTCTCTCATCACTGTCTTGAAAAATAAAAAGAAAAACCTTATTTTCAAACTGTGTCCCCTAGTTCTAGTCCTCCCCACTAGAGGAAGCATCCTTATCCAGTTCCCTCAAGCTTTGATATTTTTCAATGAAATCATCTCCCATTTCTCTAAACTTTAATGCATATAGATCTAACCTGTTCATAGGTTTAGTCTTACATCAAAGGAATGAGTCAAATGGAACTTCATTGAACTGCTTCTAAAGCAGTTACATTACCTTTTAAATAAGGAGACCAAAATGTACACATTACTCCAGATACTCCATTGCCTTGTACAGCTGTGGTAAAACTTACCTGCTTTAATATTCATTCCCCTTGGAATAAATGCTTTCCTAATTTGCTCTCCTAATCACTTGCTGTACTTGCATGCTAACTCTATGATTTGTGAATCCCTAAATTCCTCTTTACTGTTGAATCCTGTATTCTCTCTTTATTTAAACAGAAAACTGATTTTGTGTTATTCTAACCAAAATTGAAGAGTTTACCCTTCATAGAATCCCTACAGTGTGGAAACAGGCCATTGGGCCCAACAAATCCACACTGACCCTTGGAGCATCCCATCCAGACCCATTCCCCTATAACCCACCTAATCTACACATCCCTGAACTCTACGGGAAATTTAGCATGGCCAATCCACCTAACCTGCATGTCTTTGTACTGTGGGAAGAAACCGGAGCACCTGGAGGAAACCCACGCAGACACGGGGAGAATGTGCAAACTCCACGTAGACAGTCGCCTGAGGCTGGAATCGAACCCAGGTCCCTGGTGCTGTGAGGCAGCAGTGCTAATCACCGTGCCGCCCTTGTTGTATTCCATTTCCCAATTCTTCGCCCACTCTCTTAATTTGTCCACATCCTCTCTACCTCCTGTTCGCAACTTATTTTCCAACTTATCGTGGTGACCTCACCCATCTCTCTCCCTTGTGGGAACATAGACGTTTTTAGAACTCTCTTCCCTAAGAACCTGTGAAAGTTGGGTCATTAACTCTATTCAAGGTTGAGTTAGAGTTTTGATAGACAAGACAGTTGAAGCTAATGGGCGACATGGAGATGAGACCACAGCCAGATCAGCCTTGATCTTAATGAATGGTAGAGCAGGCTAAGTAGCCTATTCTGTCTCCTAAATCCTACATTCTTATTGGGATGGGAGCTGTTGGTCATTGATACCTGTGCAATGGACATTAGGGATGGGTGGGAATTTACATTTTGCACAATATTTTGCAGATGAAATTGCCGTGATTGATGAAATCCAGATGATCAAAGATCCTTCCAGAGGCTGGGCCTGGACCAGGGCACTGTTGGGTAAGAATATCGGTTTATAATTCAGCTACACTTCATCTGGATTTACTACAGAAGTCTGTCAAATAACTCAGCCTGACCTCCGTGTGATGGAGTGGATTGGATTCTGCTCTTTGAAACCAGGGCCAGTATTTTTTGCTGGCCAAACTGTCGTTAGGCCAGCGTACTGCACAGATACGTGTGGGACCTTGTGGAATCCCCATCCAAAGGAATTGGAGGAAATTGCTTTAGTAATTGTGCCAATTTGATGACCACCGCTTTTCATATTGGTGAGATTCATTCATATGGTGTCAATAGACACAGACTAATGATCTGAATCCTAGGTGCAGAGACTGTGCAGAGGGAACTTCACTGACTGTTTGATGTGAACACTGCAGAGGGAGCTTTTATCTGTACCGATCAGCCCTTGGAATGCTGATGGGGACAGTAGTAGGAATGTTACTCTGTGGTTAACCCCACGCTGTACCTTCACTGAGGAATTTTTAATGTATTATTTCAATGTACCTGTGCTTTCACTGCAGGACTTTGTGCAGAAGAAATCCATATCTGTGGTGAAGCTGCGGCTATTAACTTGGTGATGGAGTTGATGTTTGACACAGGAGAAGAGGTTGAGGTGTGTGTACTATCTCTGGGGCAAGGGCCATAGGGACAAAATATGGTTTTGGCTTTAAAAACACTGGGCAGTCTAGATGCTGAAAGCATTGAAACTGAATACTTGTTAAATATGTAGCACTGCTTCCAAACATAGTTATTGATAGCAACTTCCTCAAAGAAGAAGATATGCCTGGAGCAGCACCAGCATACATACAACTGAGATATCAGCCTGATGAATATGTAACACGGGTCTATGATGTCAAACAGCTAAAGCAGCATCTGATGGATAGCTAAACATTCCTATAACCAACAAGTCAAATCTAAGTCTGCAGCTCTACCGCATCCAATCATAAATGGCTGTGGGCAATTAAACAATTCTCTGAAAGAGCTGGCTTCGCAAATATTCCCATCCCCAATGCTGGAGAACATTAATGCAAAAGATAAGTTTTGAAGTTTTTAGAACCATCTTCAGTCAGTAATACTGAGTAAATGATCAATCTCATTTTCTTTGTTAGGTCCCCAGCAGATGCCAGTCTTTGGTTCATTTGTTTAGCACTCCACATAATGTCAAGAAATGCCTGAATGGATAGTGCACAGTCCCTGGCTCTTGACAATTTTACTGTAATAGTATTGAAGAGTTGTGCTGCAAAACATGCCATACCTCTAGACAAGCTGTTCCAGTACAAGATAACAAAATCAGCATCTACCTGACAATGTGGAAAATTGCCCAGGTTATGTCCTGTACACAAAAAAAAGGATAAATGTAACTTAGTACTCAGCAGTAACCTGCTCTTTGGTGCTCAGTTTAGTATCCAACAGGCCAATTTACCTGAGATAGCAAGAACTACAGATGCTGGAGTCAGAGATAACAAAGTGTGGAGCTGAGGATCACAGCGGGCCAGGCAGCATCAGAGGAACGGGAAACCTGACATTTCGGGACGGGGCCCTTCATCAGAAATGGGGAGGCTGAGGGGAGCTCAGAAATAAATAGAGGGAGGAGGGATGGGGCTGGGGAAGGTAAGTGGGATGGTGATAGGTGAATGCAGGTAGGGAGTGGTGGGGATTGGTCAGTGAGGTGGGAGGAGCGGATAGGTGGGAGAGAAGATGGACAGGTTGTGTCAGGTCAGGGAGGTGGGGATGAGAGGGAGGGTTGGTCATGGGATGAGGCTGCGGGTGGGGAGATTTTGAAACTGGTAAAATCCATATTTAGGCCATCGGGTTGTAGGTTCCCAAGATGGAATATGGGGTGTTGCTCCTCCAGTTTCTGGGTGGCATCATTGTGACACTGGAGGAGGCCCAGGATGGACATGTCACCCAGGGAGTGGGAGTTAAAATGTTTTGCGACCAGAAGGTGGTGATGTTTGTCACGTACAGAGCGCAGATGCTCTACAAAACAGTCTCCGAGTCTCCATGTCTCCACTTGGTCTCACTGATGTAGAGGAGGCCACATCGGGTGCAGTGGATGCAGTAGACCAAGTTGACGGATGTGCAGGTGAACACATATCTGATGTCAAAGGTTTGTTTTTTGCCTTGAATGGAGGGTGTGGGGTGAAGGTGTAGGGTCAGATGTAGCACTTCCTGCGGTTTCAGGGAAAGGTGTCGGGGATGGTGGGGTTAGTGGGGAGTGTGGAGCGGACGAGGGAGTCTCAAAGAGAGCAATCCTTATGAAAGGCAGATAGGGGTAGGGTGGGAAATACCTCTTTGGTTGTGGTGTCTAGACTTTACTACGGCCTTGGGTCAAATATCAGCAAAGGTCTGACCTCCAGAGATGCTGAGAAAGTGATGGCCTTGACATCAAAGTATCACTTGACTGAGTACAGAATCAAGCAGCTCGAGGAAATTGAAGTCCTTGGAAATTAGGGGAAAGCTCTTCACTAGTATAGAGGGAAGTGGTTATGGTTGTTTGAGGCTAATCAGCTCTGTGACAAGACATCAGTGAAGAAGTTCTTCGGGGTAGTGTCCCAGATCAACCATTTTCAGTTCCTTCATTAATGACTTACAATCCATTGTAAGGATATTTGCAGATGATAGCTCAGTGTTCAATTCTATTTGCCACACCTTGAAGCAGTCTATGCCTGCTTGCTGCATGATTGGGTAACATCAAGGTTTGTGCTAACAAGTGGCAAATAACATTTAATGCCACACAAGTGCCAAGCAATGACCATCTTCAGCAAGAGAGAATCTAGACGTCATTCCTTGACATTCACTGACATGACTATCACTGAATCACCACACTATCAACATTCTGGGGGTTACCATTGAACAGAAACTGAATTGATACAACTGATATAAATATTGTATCTGAACTGGTCAGATGTTGAGAATACTGTGCAAGTAGGCCGCCACCTGTCTCTGCAAAGCCACTGTCTATGAGATGCAAGTTAGAAGTCTGAATAATTTCCTCTTAACACATTTACAACACTCGAGTAGTTTGACGCTATGCAGGGCTAGGTAGCATTTTTGATCAGAATCACCAGACTGCTGTACAGCAACATCTCTATTCCGATCGTTATTGTCAAAAGGTGCACTGATGTCCTCCATGTTCAAATTGCATCACAGTATCAACGTCACTCTGCTGTTGTAGTCTGCCCTTTGGGAAGTGCTCTGCAATGTTCTCCATGTTTTTAAACTGGTACCATAACCAAACATTGGAAGACTTTGAGTCTGATTATTTAACGATAACATTTTGTTATTGTTGCAACGTGTTATAAGTTCATACCAGAATAATACATGGTAAGACACATGACATAATTCTCTCATCCTTATAACATTTACTGTAGTAGCTTTGCCTGTTTTTCTGTTTGTGAAATGGGTGTTGTCATGATTTATATTTGGTGTTGTCTGCACCTTGTAAAAGGCAGAATTTTCCCAGCTGAGTAATTGCTTTCTGTTGAATAGGTTGAAAGTTATGAGCGGCTAACTCCCATGACTGTTCTGGACACTGCACTGGAGTCACTGGATAACCTGCATCCTGGTGACTGTATTGTGTGCTTCAGTAAAAGTGACATCTATTCACTGAGTCGACAAATTGAGGCTCGCGGACTGGAATGTGCAGTGATTTACGGCAGTCTTCCACCTGGTAAATAACTTCTCAACGTTTTGTAATGTTGCCAAGTAAAGTAACTTATAGTAAGTTTGAACACTAAATAACAGCCAGCATTAGCCTGTCCTGGGAAGCCATTTATCCATGTCCAGTGACATGGCCCAGGACCATAACTTAGGCTTTTGCGAACTCACTCTTAGCCAGGTTTATCACCAAGCCCGCATCCTGAAGTCGATCGAACAACTCCAATAGATGCTCCAAATGTTCCTTCCACATGTGGCACAAAAAATCACTAGATTGTCAATATACACCACAATTGGGTAATCCTGAAATGGCTTTATTGGTTAGTGTTTAAAATGTGGCCAGCGCATGTTTTATGCCAAATGGCATGACTTCAAACTGGTGCAGTCCATTTGGCATCACAACAGCCAAAATTTGCTTCAGTCTTTTGGATGAAGGTACCTGTCAGTGTCCTTGAAGTAAGTCCAACTTTGAAATGTAACTTGTTTGTCCCACCTTCTCAATACAGTCTTCCAAACACAGAATAAGATATGAATCAGATTTTGTAACTGCACTGACTTTATGATAGTCCATACATAGTCATTGGGTACCGTCTGGTTTTGGTACCATAAGTATGGGTGAGCTCCATTTGCTGCTACTCACTTTGATTATATTTTCTTCAAGCATGCTTTCAATCTCTTTTTGAACATCTTCCAATTTTACATGTCTGTAAGAATGTTGCTTAATTGGAACAGCATTTCCTATTTCTACATCATGCATAATCAAATTAGTACTACCCAGGTTATTCCCACATATCTCTCCATATGATTGTAGTAACTCTCAGGCCATATTGGTTTTCCCCTGGAAGGTAACTCAATAATTTATTCCAATTTTTTTAGAACTTCTCATTGTTCAATTTACATTGAGGAATGTCCAATTTACAATCCTCTGAACTCAGTTCTTCACTTTGTGTTGTAACCAGTAACACATTCTCCTTTTGCTTTCCTTCCCTATCAAAATACCTTTTCAGCATACTCACAACGCACAATCAGTGATTTCTTTCTATCTGGCGTTCTTATCAAATAGTTCAACTCACTCAATTTCCTTTTGATTTGATAAGGCCCACTAAACCTTGCCTTTAAAGGTTCGCTTAACCACTGGTGGTAACACTAACAATTCATCTCCACTAGCAAAATTACAAATTTTTGATTTCTTGTCTGCTTCCTGTTTTATCACATGCTGTGCTGCTTTCAAATGCTGTCAGGCCAACTCACCCCCTTTACTTAATTTTTGCCTAAAATTTGACACCACAGTCCAAATGTGTGGTCTCTGAACTCTGACTCACCAATTTCTTCTTAATTAATGTCAATAATCCTCTCACCTCATGTCTAAAAAACTAATTCAAATAGACTGAATTTAGTTGATTCATCAGGTGCATCGCTAACTGCAAAAATGTACAAATGGAATTCCTTTATCCAAGTCCTCTGGATTGTCTTGACTATAAGCCCTAAACATGGTCTTCAAAGTTTGATGCCACAGTTTTAATGTTCCCTGCCCAGTTGATTTGTTTTTTTTATTAATTTCTAAGCTATCCATATTCACCAGAATAATTCTGATGTAAAATTTGATCCTTGATCCAATTGTATCTCTGTGAGTAGTCCATGTCTAGAAAAAGAAATTGAGTAACTCTTCTACAATCCTGTCTTCCGTGATACTGCATAATGGAATGGCCTCTGGAAATCTAGTAGACATATCCATTATGGTCATTAAATACTGATTCCCGCTTTTTGTTTTAGGGAGGGGTCCTATGCAATCAAATAAGTCTCTTGTACAAAGTTCCTCAAATGCAGGAATGGGTATTAAGGGTGCTGGTTTTATCATTACCGGAGGTCTTCGAATTACCTGACATTTGTGACGTGTCTGGCAAAATTTAACCACAACCTTATGCACTCCAGGCCAATAAAAATGTTTTTGTCTTTTGGCTTGAGTTATCCTTACTCCCCAAATGACTACCTACTAGTAATTCATGTGCTACCCGCAATACCACCTTTCTGTAACCTACTGGTAATACAACTTGATGCGTTGCTGCCCATTTCTCATCCGCCTGAATATGTGATGGTCTCTGTTTGCTCATTAGAATAACTTGGCATTCATAACAAATGTCATGACTGCAATTTTGAAACATTGTAATGTAGGAAATACAACATTCCATTCAGCGCAGCAAACTCCCATAATAGAATAAATATTAGCAAAAGTCATGGCGATGTACATCATGGAAAAAGACCCTTCAGCCAGTTGTGTCCACACTGGTCAAAAACAAGCACCTAATTATTCTAATCCCAGTACTTATTTTGTATGCCTTGCAAGTGCACATCTAAATACATCTTAAATTTTAAGAAAATTTCTGTCTCCATACCCATACAGGCAGTGAGTTCCAGATTCCCACAACCTCTAGGTGGAAAAAATGTTCCCTCCCATCTCCGCTAAACCTTTTGCCTCTTTCTTTAAGTCTATGTCCCCTTCCATCAAGGGGAAAAGTTTTTTTTACCTGTTTACCCCATTTATGCCCCTCATTATTTGAAACATCTCAATCATATCCCCTCTCAATCTCCTCTCCACTAAAGAAAACTGCCCCAGTCTGTCCAGTCTCTCTTTGTAGCTAAAACTGTCCAGTCCAGGCAACATCCTGATAAATCTGTCTGTACCCTGCCCAGTGCAGTCTCTTCCTTCCTATAATGTGGATTACAGAATTACACACTAGCTGTGGCCTAACCAACGTTTTATATAGTTCCAGCAAAACCTCCCTGCTCTTAAAATCTATGCCTCGCATAATAAAGGCTAATATACCATATGCCTTCTTAACCATTTTAACCACCTGCCCTGATACCATAGGAGACCGGTAGACATTCAAACCAAGGTCCTTCTGGTCCTCTGTGTTGCCGTATTTCGTCCAGGAGAAAATTAATAAATTCAGAATGGGCACATAAGTAGTGAATGAAGTACTACCTTTGATGTGAATATTTTAATTGGAAGAACAAGGTGGTCATTCTTTACTTGGAAGGTGAAAATACCAGATATGGCAAAGGAAGAAAGGTAACTCCTGAGTACCAATGTTGTACCAGAGGTTAACAAGGCAATAAAACCAAAAACTACTAAACCAAAAACTAGGATATACTTCTAGAGGGATAGAATTTAAAAAATGGAGAGCTTGCATCAAACGTATGTTGAACCTTGGTTCGAGTGCACTTGAAATAATGCTTACAGTTCTGGTCACAATCATTGAAAGGATAATGAGTTGCTGAAGAAGGCACAAGGAAGATTTGCAAAGTTGTTGCCAGTAGTGCCTAGGTGTATGTAATGAAAATGGACTGACAGATTCAGTCCCTCATTCCTTAGTCTTTGGGGGATGACAGTCAAAAAAAAAATGATTGAGGGGGACATACCACTTGTTAAATCATGAAAGTATTTGACAGAACAGATACAGAGACAATGTTTCCTCTTGTGCAGAAGAATCCATATAAATATGAGGGGGGAAAAGAGTAGAGAGCATTGTAGATTTAGATGAGGAAAGATGGGATGAGTGTCATGTAATGCTTGTAAGTGTCTGGCCCCAGTGCTGCACTTGAGGAAATGGAATTGAGGGATGGAGTCAATCTGGTCCTAGGAACTGCCCAATCAAGCGGGATATGTGTGTAAATGAAGGATAGGGTAGCATAGAAATATATTACAAAGACTTTTATAGTATTTACATAGACCAAAGTTGTAACGTACCCCCGTAATACTGATGAAGGCTCATTATACAGTTTTCATTCAGTGTAAGTACAGTTTTTCAGGAATGCTGAATTACTGCCATGAACTCAAATAGATTCTTTATCACTTGGTGTTCAGGCGGATTACTTGTGTTCTCAGTTTCATCTTACATCATGTTTTCATTGATAAAGTAAAACATTGGCCTTGGTAATGCTTATGTTTATTTAACTGTGTAATAATATTCTTATGCTTTTCTTTGAAGTCCAGAATCCGCAGGAAGATAGTACGAAACAAAGTTCAAGGTAGCAGGTAGGTAGGAGGCAAGTAGCATTGCTAATGAGAGGGGTTCAGGATGCAGTGGCTCAGTAATGCTGAGAGGGTCATTTTCGGATTGAGAGCATAAAGAAGGGATATAAGGATTAGCTGGGGCATTGAAGTGGGAAATCTTTCAGATGTGACCGGAAGGAAGAGATTGGGAAAGAGGAGGATTGGTGACTGTGACAGTCTGCAGCAGTCAGTACTTGGACTGTTCTTCATACTTGCATTTAGTTTCCTTTTCAAGCATTTATCTATGTCATTAGTAATTTATAAAACTGAAAACAGAAAATTAAAGCAAACAGGATAGGGGTTATATGTTGGCATGGATCAAGAATTGGCTGACAGATAGTAGAGTCAGAATAGTAAAATAAAATATTGCGGATGTTGGAAATCTGAAACAAAAACAGAGAAAGCAGAGTTTTTATGTTTCAAATCCAATGACCCTTCTTCAGAATGTACACTGGTCTAGAAATATTAGCTGTGCTTTCTCTTCACAGATGCTGCCAGACTGGCTGAGTTTCTCCAGCAATTTCTGTTTTTGTAGGAATAAATGAGTTGTTTTCCCAACTTGCAGGCCATGATTGGCGGGGTACCTCAAGGATTAGCGATTGGACCTTGGCTATTCACAGTAGATATTAATGATCTGGATGAGGGAACCAAATGCAACATTTCCACGTTGCAAGGAGGCTTCGTGGTGATCTAGACAAGTTGAGTGAGTGGGCAAACACATGCCAGGTGCAGCAGAATATAGATACATGTAAAGTTATGTACTTCGCTGTGAAACCAGAAAGAAAAAGTGTTATTTAAATGGCGATATATTGGAAAATGTGGATGTACAAATGGACCTGGGTGTCCTATACACCAGCCAATAAAAGTAGACAGGCAGATGCTGCAAATAATTAGGAAGGCAAATGGAATATTAGCTTTCATTGGATTTGAGTTCCAAAGTATGAATGTCTGCTGCAGTTATACAGGACCTTGATGAGACTTTTAAGAAGGGATACACTTGCCATGGACGGAGTGCAGTAGAGATTCACTCTGCTGATGCTGGGAATGGCGGGACTGTTGTATGAGGAGAAAATGGTTCGACTGGGCCTGTATTTACCAGAATTTAGAAGAATGCCAGGGGATCTGATTGAAATGGATAGGATTCTAACAGGGCTCCACAGACTTGATGTAGGCAGAATGTTTTCTCATATTGCGGAGTCTGGAATCAGGGATGGGGTCTCTGGATTCGCGTAGACCATTTAGGACTGAGGTGAGGAAAGATTTTTTTCACTCAAAACGTAGTGAACGTGTGGAATTCTCTATCACAAAGGATATGGAGGCCAAGTCACTGAATACATTTAAGAAAGCGATAGGTAAAATTTCAGACCTTAAAGGCATCATGAGGAGAAAGTGGGAACATGGCATTGAGATAGAGGATCAGCCATGATCACGTTGAATGGAGGAAAACTTCGAAGGGCTGAATGGCCTACTCTTGTTCCTAGTTTCTGTGTCTGTTTGTTATGAACATTTAAAAATGATGTACATCAATAAGAGAGGTTATTGCAGGAAGGTGGAAATCTTGAGTTGTAAGAGCCATTGCTTCTATGTGTCCATTTGATAGGCAGATGCCCTTGGAGAAACCAGCAGGGCACTAAAGGTTCCTCAAATCCTGGGTAATTCAATAAAGGCGCAAGACTTGAACTTATTCCTTTTGTTTGCAAAAAGTGTATGTGTGTGTCATTTCTATAAAGTGTTGAAGAACCACCTTCTGACCTTGACTGATTATCTTAAATCAGTTCTTTGTGTAGCCGTTAGCATTAACAATGGCTAATCAGAGTCAACTTGCCAATCAAACAGCAACTGTTTGTTGTACAATTGGTTATGATGGTTCGAAATTTGGTGTCCTTGTTTGCCCTAATGAGTGCAAAATGAAATAGTTTGGCAACATGCCTCTCTGCAGCAATTTTCTGTACAAGAGATTTTTTTAATATTATTGAGAGGAGCTACAGTTCTATCTATTTATCATGATGAGGGATTGTCTGTGTTGGGCAAAGTGTAAGGTTGCTTCTTTGTCCTGCTGTTATTGCTCTGTTCAAACTGTCTTTCCAACCTAGAGTCAAGAATCAGTTAGCACGTTTCAGTCTGCAAGTACTGGTCACTGGGAGAAAGCATGTCTGTGTGAAATGCATGATCAGGCTCTTCCTCTTGAAACCCCAATGATGTGTTGCATCTACTCATTACCCAGCCTTTGCATACTGTTTGATTTTGGTTGTGTTGCTCTCAAACCCCCCTTCCACCCATAATCCTAACTGGTATTTGGGTGAAAAGCCAACCTCTAACAGTGTAGCACCCTGACTCAGAGTGAGACACTCATTTCATTGTCACTGTTTCCCCTCATGTGATTGGCAATTTCCACATAGAAATCACTGTTGAATAGAACAGTACAAAAATCTCTCCTTCCACTTGTAAGAAAGTTTTCAGTGTAGACCCTGCAAAAATTGTGTCTCAGTCACATTTTCTCGCTTCCACACAGAAGTTTCAAAATGAGTGGACGTGGCAGTGGATTGCAGCTCGATCACCAGACCATAAACAGAACTCTCAGGACACATTGCAGCAGCTGGCGACACATGGTGCTGGTGTCTGTGTTGTTATAGAGTCATAGAGTAATACAGCATGGAAACAGGCCCTTTGGCCCAAACTGGTCCATGCTGACCATGGTGCCTACTCAGCTAGTTCCAACTGCCTGCATTTGGTCTGTACCCCACTAATACCTGCTCATCCATGTACCTATCCAAATGTTTTTTAAATGTTGCTATTGTACCTGCCTCAATCATTTTCTCCAGCAGCCCATTCCATATACGCATCACTCTCTGCGTGAAGAAGTTGCCCCTCAGGCCCTTCTTAAACCTATGCCCTCTAGTTTTCAATTCCCCATTCCTGGGGAAAAAAAACTATATGCATTCATCCTATCTATGCCCCTCATGATTTTATACACCTCAATAAGGTCATCCCTCATTCTCCTACATTCCAAGGAATAAAGTCCTATCCGGGCCAACCTCTCCCTATAACTCAGGCCTGATAGCCCTGGCAACGTCCTCGTAAATTTTCTTTGCACACTTTCCAGTTTAACTGTGTCTTTCCTTTAACAGGATGACCAAAACTGTACACAGTACTCCAACGACTTATACAACTGTAACATAACGTCCCAACTCCTATACTCAGTGCCTCGACCGATGAAGACCAGCATGCTAAATGCCTTCTTCATCACCCTGTCCACCTGTGACACTGCTTTCAACGAACTATGTACTTGTACTCCTAGGGCCCTCTGTTCCACAATGCTCCTCAGGACCTTACCATTTACTGTATGTCTATATACATTTACATTGAGTGTTCTCAACCGTCTGGTTCAGTTTACTGAAGGTGTCTTTATTCTTGACCTTAGGAACAAAACTGGCTCAAGCAAAAAAATTCAATGACCCTGACGATCCCTGTAAGATCATGGTCGCTACTGATGCCATTGGAATGGGTTTGAATCTGTGAGTAAACCATTGAACCTGTTGCTGTTTTCTCTTCTCTGCTGAGGTACATTTCACAGATTATGTGCCTGGTTGTTCCCTCTTCGTCTTCAGAGAATCAAAGTCCAACCAGTGCGCCATTCATTATGAGTGAGTCTGTGTAGACTGAGAGACAGTGGCAACTGATCATAGTGGAGTTCAGTAAGGGCCAGGGACTTTACTCATTTAGTTGTACTCATTGTCATCTCCACTAGAGGGTGCCTGATACTGTGAAATTGCCTCCCTCCATGGATCACAGGGCAGCTAGGAACAAACTCTAATTGAAGCCTGATTCTACCATCTAATAATCTATAAGAACAATGTTTCTCTCTTGTTCAGGAGCATAAAACGCATCATTTTCAATTCCCTCGTGAAACCAAATATCAATGAGAAAGGAGAGAAAGAAATGGACCGGATAACCACGTCACAGGCCCTACAGATTGCTGGCAGAGCTGGCAGATTCCGCTCAGCTTTTAAAGAAGGGGAAGTTACTACAATGAATCGGGATGACCTTCCTGTGCTGCAAGAAATCCTGAGTAAGACCGTCGAACCTATTGAGGTGAGCGTACTGAGGAAGCAGGGCAAGGCCCCCCACTATCACCATCCTGTGGGCTAACATTGACAAGAATTTGCGCTGGACTAGTCATATAAATACTGTGGCTTACAACAGCAAGGCAAAGGCTGGGAATACTTGGTGAGTAACTCACCTCCGTGACTCCCAAACTTGTGTACATTCAACACAAGTCAGGAGTGTAACAGAATACTCCCACAGTAGACAAGAGCAGCAGAAACATAGGAACACCAGTTGCAGGTTCCTCTCCAAGCCAGACACTAGCCTGACTTGGAAATATGCTGACAGTGTCCATTACCATTATTTAACCAGAATCTTGGAATTTCCTCCCTGATAATACTGTCACTTTACTTGCAACAAGTGGACTGCAACAGTTCGAGAAGGCAGCTCACCACAACCATCTATTTTACAATAGGGATGGGCAATAAATAATGGCCCAACCAGCGAAGCCCACATCGCCTAAATTAATTACTTTAAAAAATGTCAATGATTATTGTAAATAATGAAATTCAGGGAACTTTATTTGAATGTTCAAAGTATCCACAATAATATAGATTAACTAGTATCCCACATACAGTTAAAAATGTAGATTTAATTATATGACAGTGACTTGGTTACAAAAAAACAAAGATTGAGAAAATAAAATATTCCGGAGCGCGCTATATGTTAAAATCTCAGATTGGCAAAGAAGGAGGGGCCGCCTTGATAATAACGGGCGAGTTAAAGGCAGTAGTGAGAACACTGATGGGATTGGTTTATAGGCTTCCTAGTAACAGCTGTACGGTTGGACAGAGCATTCAATAATAAATTATTTGCGCTTAAAGCAAAGGCAGTGTAATAATTCTTCTAAACTGGGAGATTCAAATTGGCAAGAGGATTTCGAAACTGAGTTTGTTGAACAGTTTCTTGACAGTTTCTCTGAGCAATGCATTGTGGAGTTGACTTGGGATGAGACTTCCTGAGATCTTGTATTATGTAAAGAGTAATGTCAAAATGAAAGATCAGCAAGGAAAGAGTGAGCATGATATCATTGAATTCCTCCTTAAGTTTTTCAGTGACATACTCCTATCACAAGTGAGAGTCTTAAACTTAAAAGTCAATTACATAGGTATGAGGGGATTACTGACAGATTGATTGGGTTAATAGGCTAAAAGCTATGGTGGCAAATAAACCATGGGGAATATTTAAAGAATTCAAAGTGTTCAACAAAAATATATTCCACTAAAATACAAAAATTCAGCAAAAACTATCCATGGCTCATTCAAGACATCAAGGATAGTAAATAGATGAGTTTTAGAGTGTTGCAAAGAACAGTAGCAAGTCTGAGAGTTGGGAATGTTTTAAAAACCAATACTCCAAAAAGTTCTTAAATAAGGGAAAATTAGCAAACTAGCCAAAAATATAAAAACAAGTTGTAAGTGCATTTGTAAGTATATAAAAGGAAGCCAAAGCAAATGTTAGTCCGTAAGATACAAAGACAGGAGAAATGGTTGTGAGGAGTGAAGAAATGAGAGGCATTAAACAAATACTTTGTATCTGTCTTCAGAGTAGAATGCACAAACTGCATACTACAAATAGATGGTAACCTAAGCATTAAAAAGAATGAGAATACCAAGGAAAATAACATCAGTAGAGAAGCTGAAGAGATTAAAATCCAAACAATCCCCAGGACCTGATGTCCTAGGGTTCTGAAAGACCTTGCTGCAGGGATAGTTTGATTCAGGAACAGCTAAATTAGATTGGAAGCTAACAAATGTACCACGGCTTTTAAAGAAAGGAGAGAAAGACAATTGGAAACTGCAGACGAGTTAACCTGATATCTGTCACTGGAATCTATTATTAAGGAAGTATTAGCAATGTACTTTGAACAGCATTGTTTGATGAGAGCAAGTCAACATGCTTTTACAAAAGGGAAAAGCTGTTTGGCCAATTTAAGTTTTTAGAGGATGTAACTTGTAGGCTGGACAAAGAGTAATCAGTAGATACAATATGTCTAGATTTCCATGTATCTTCGAATAATCCCCTTGTCTCAGACTGCTCTGGATTTCCATAAGTGCCATGTAAATGATTAATAGACAAGATTATTCCATGTAGTTAGAATCACTGCAAGCAATTATGAAGACATGTTGGTTCTTATTGCAAGGGGACTGGAGTGAGAAATAAAGACGTTTTGCTATAATTGTACAGGGTTTTGGTGAGACCACATCTGGAGTACTGCATTTTTGGTCACCACATTTACTGGAGGCAGTACAGTGAACGATCATGAAATTGGTCCCTGGGTGAGGGCGTTGTCCCAAGATGAGAGGCTCAGCAAATTGTGTTTATATTTTCATTACCAATGGCATGGAGGCAGTGTGGGTAAAGGGCATTGAAGTGTTTGATTGCATTGAATAGCATGGTAAACTCGATAGGCTGAATGGTCTCCTGTTCCTATATTTCCTATTTTCTGGAGTTTAGAAGAACGAGAGATGATCTCATTAATAAAAGATTCTGAAGTGATTTGACAGGGTCTGCATAGAGATTACTTCTGCTGGTTGAACAGGGACAACATCTCAGGATAAGGTGTGAGTGAAAATTACTCCACGCAAAGGCATCTGAATGTTACACAGAAATCTGGGTAAAATGGCCATATTATTCCAGTCTTCCTTGTAATCTGGCGGTTGGGTTGTTTTTATTTGGGGAGGGCGCGTGTGATGATATGGTGGTGCGGTGGTGGGAGGGTGCCAACAGCCTGGAGAATTGCCAACATTATGGCCTTGGTCAAAAAAGGTAAGGATGATACTAGCAAATACAGACCAGTCAATTTAACTTCCCTATGGGGAAACATTTGAAAAAATTATTTCAGATAGAATCAGTCATCTCATGGAAAAAGCTGGGTTGATTAAAAAGAGTCAGCTTGGATTTCTAAAGGGGAAATAGTGTTTAACCACCTGGCTGGAGTTTTTTGAAGAGGTAACAGAAAGTTTTGATGAGTGTAGTGCTTTTAATATGGTATACATGGATTTCTAGAAGGCATTTGATAGTGTTTCGCAACAGACTTGATGAAAATTTCTCGGTCACAGTGTAAAAGGGACAGTGTAAACATGGATACAAAATTGGTTGCATGATAGAAAATAGCATGTAATGGTCAAACAGATATTTTCGTGCTGGGAGAAGGTTTAGTGGAGATCCCCATGGGGTTAGTGTTGGGACCCTTGCTTTTCCTAACATATAATAGGTGATCTGGATATTGGTGCATAGGGAACAATTTAAGTTTAGAAGACAGTAAATGTGAAAGAATTTAAACTGTGGAGAGGATACTGTGGAATTCCAAAAGGACACAGGCAAGTTGGTGGAGTGGGCGGATTGATGGCAGATGAGGCTCAATGTAGAGTTCAAGCATCAGGTGATGTATTTGGGTTGGAAGAATATTGAACAATGATATGAAATAAGGGCTACAGTTCTAAATGGGGTGCAGGAACTTTGGTGTGTATGTACACAGATCATAGACGATGGCAGGTCTCATGAAGAGAACAGTAAATAAAGCATACAGTGTTCTTGACTTTATTAATAGGAGCATTGAGTACAAGAGCAAAGTGATATTGAACTTGTACAGGACACTTGTTAGACCTCAGCTGGGGTATTGTCTACAATTTTGGATGCCTCATTATGGGAAAATGTGAAAGCTTTGGAGAGAGTACAGAAGGAATTTATTAGATGCAGGCACAATTGGCTGAATGGCCTCTGAGCCATAAAAGTGCTTCGATTCTGTGGATACTCCATCGGTGATCATGTTAAGGTTCAGGTAGGCAGACATTTGATCTCCCAGGGATTCGTTGAAAATGGTGAGCAAGCACGAAAGTTGAGTTGAAGCCCAAGCTCAACCACAATCGTATTGAATAGGCTTGGCGTGCCGCTTCTGTTTCCTCTTCTTGTATGATGCTGGTCAATAGACGCAGCATTGACATGGAGGTGCCAATGTTGGACTGGATGGACAAATTCAGAAATCAAACGACACCAGGTTATAGTCTAACAGGTTTATTTGAAATCACAAGCTGCTTCATCAGGTGAAGTGTAGAGACAGCAGGAAGAGTTTAAACAGAAGAGACAGACAGACCCTGGGGCAACGTGTTTCGTTGTTGGGTAACTTCTGTATTCTTTAATAAATTTGGAGGCATGAAAATTGAGAGTCTGGATTGCACATAGTTACTCTTCAGTTTCCATTTACTGACCTCTTACACCCAAACCAGAGACCAAAACGTAACATTTGCAAAGGAATAAAAGCTGTGCAGCTTCAGGGTGAGAAAAGTACACACACGCACAAATCTTATTTAAAACATTTTTGCACCGATTTTTTTTTTTTTGTTTAATGACTGTGCTTGATTCAACTTCCACCTGCCAATCTCTGGGTTACGTGGCAGTGTCCACTCACTGTAAGAAGATGGCCTATTGAAGAATATGCCTGACATCCAACAAACGAACGATTCCGGCCTTGTGTGTGGAGTTTACAGATTCTCCCTGTCTGTGTGGGTTTCCTCCGGATGCTTCAGTTTCCTCCCACAGTCCAAAGACATGCAGGTTAGGTGAATTGGCCATGCTAAATTGCCCACAGTGTCCAGGGATGTGCGGGTTAGGTGGATTAGCCATGGAAAATGCAGGGTTACAGGGATAGGGTAGCGGGGGGTAGGTCTGGGTGGGATGCTCTTCAGAGGGTCAGTATGGACTTGATTGGCCAAATGGCTTGCTTCCACGCTGTAGGGATTCTATGATCATTCAATAACGCCTGCTTTTGGAAGGTGGAAGGAGTGTGTTCAAAGGAGTAAGAAGTCAACATTTGAGAAAGGTATTTATTTATTTATTAACCAATTAGAACTTTTTTTAAGGCAGCAGGATTGCATCCCACAGCAGACCAGATAGAGATGTTTGCCTACCAGCTGCCAGATGCCACCCTGTCAAACTTAATCGTAAGTTTTTCGCTCAGAGCCACTGCTTATTGTGAAATTTCTTTGTGAAAACACTTTATTGACTAGTCACTTTTCTCCAGATTTAAAGCTAAATCAACATTCCTCTACATTTTCTGAACCTTTCCTCTGAATGCAGGACATATTTGTGAGCCTCTCACAAGTCGATGGACTATACTTTGTGTGCAACATTGACGATTTCAAGTTTCTGGCTGATATGATTCAGCATATCCCACTGAATCTCCGTGTGCGATATGTCTTCTGCACTGCACCAATCAATAGGAAGCATCCCTTTGTCTGCACCTCCTTTCTAAAGGTATTTTACTCATCTGTCAGTCATATTCTAACAAGACTGTTTCTTCCCCTCCTCCATACCTTAACTGTTACAGTTTGATACAAAGAACTTGGATTTACTTAGCTCATTTTCCGAGTTCAAGATGTCTCAAGATGCTTTATTGCCAGTGGAGTACATGTTGCAAGTGAGATGATGTTGTAATGTGGCACATGCAATGTGCACGCAGCAGTCTTTAATAAATAGCAAAATGACAGTTGGAAAATTTAGTGATTTGAGGTATAAAGATTAGCTAAATACCAAAAAAAATTCCTCTGCTATCCTTTGATCAGGAGAGTACAATCTTTTTTTCATTCTTGGAGAAAATAGACTAAACTTCAGTTAGACTTTACCATCACAAGACGACACCTCTAATAGTGCAGCACATTTGCGAACTCTGCTGCAGAATTTGAAAACTCTGCCTTCTGGATGAGCAGCGAGAGGTGGGCTATATTTTTCTGGAATAACAATTCACTGAAATGGAGTCTCTACACTAATCCAGTGGCAATACCATTCTTACACTGCATTGAAAGTGTTGGCAGTTGTCCAGGCATGCAGAAGTCAGATTATTTTCGTTAAAGTACTGTTGTCTTAGGAGTTAATGATCACAGTTAGGCAGTCAACTATTCATTACAATTTTCTGATAACTCATTGAGCTTAAGAAGCAGTAGTTTAGATATGATGTATTAGTTAGAAAAAGAAAATATACTACTGTGACAATTGGGAATGATTCACTGATACCAGAGGACAAACAGGACTGGGGTCTTAGGGAATACTTCCCTCAGTGTTCCTCCTATCTTTCTAATCTGTCTTCTATCGGTGTGGTGAAGACTGCTGTCTTGGAAAACTGCACTCTGCCCTGAGTCTGCTCTATTTGTGGTTCCTGCATTGATTTGACTTAGCCTTGGTGTAGGTACTCCAGCATGGTAGCTGGTTCCTTAACTGATTTGGCCCCTGTGAGGTTATTCCAGTGGAGAATTGGCCACTGGGTGTCCTCCGGCGAGGCCTATCCTCAGTACTCGTCTTGCGCTCTCTCACACTCTCTCTGGCCCCACGTGCCCTCTGGGGCCCCCTTCGGCCTGCCCCCCTCTCTCTCTCTCTGCCCCTCCCCCCCCTCTGAATTAATACGTACTCTGGAAGGTGTGGTTAATGAGTTGTAGCTTGACTAGATAAGTTCATGCAATGAAACAATTTGAAGGAAAACAACTATTTTGATCATCTAAGTAAATATTTTGGACTTTGCTATGGTCTCCTAAAATAGCTTGTGATCCCTGATGATCAGGGTTGCTAGCTAATCAATTTTGTGATAGCCACAAAATTTGCTATTGTGGATAACAATACATCATTGATCTGTTGATTTGACATTTGCAATCTGATTTTTCTTCTTTCTTAACTTGGAGTCTGTTTGAATTCTCTAGTTTGCCAGACAGTTCAGCAGGAATGAGCCACTGACGTTTGAGTGGTTATGTCGACACATTAACTGGCCATTGGTACCACCGAAAAATATCAAAGACCTTGTACACTTGGAGGCTGTGCATGATGTATTGGATCTGTACTTATGGTTAAGGTGAGTTAAGGAGCCTGGATCCACTATTTGGGAATGTCTTTCAACTCTGATACTTGGTAAAGCTGGTTTCGTCTAGCAAACCCAAAACTGAGATTTTTAAACAGTATCTTGATTGGTTCTAGTCTCTTTCTATTCCTGCTCTGGATTGGCTCTGATTCCTGGTTCAAATTAAAATATGAATTATAGAAATTTACAGATAGATCACACATCTGTAAATCCTATCCTGTCCAACCTAATCCCACTTCCCAGCTCTTGGTCCGTGATATTGTCGTTTAATGTAAAGTATCATATCTTTTGAAAACCCAAATATACTACACCTGTCACTTGGTAGAACAGATGTTAAATGTTGCTGAAGCGACTCATTGACAGTTTTTTTGATTTGCATTCATCCAAACATGTGAATGCCAAATTTCAAACCATCATAATAATTTATACTACAGGAAAAAGCAAGTTGTTTGTTTGGTAAATCAGCTCTAGCTGAGGCATTGCTATGGAGAAAGCAACAGGGAATTATAGACTCCCCAAGTTCCTGGTTAGGGATTCAACATTTTACTTCTGTTTGCAAAGAACAGGTCCCTTGCAAATTACACTTCTAGAGGGTGTAAATGAGTTCAACAGATTGCCCTATGTTGCTGATGGGTTTGGGCTTGCTGTCTTGTGGTCAGATCATTGCAGCAATTTCTTTTATGCTTTAACTCCCCCGGTGACATGTCCATCCTTGGCTTTCTCCACTATCAAGAGTGAGGCCAAACATAAACTGGAGGAACCTGCTATTTCCCTTGGGAGCTTACAGCCCAATGACCTGACTATTGACTTCACCAACTTCAAAACCTCTCCAACCCCAACCTGTCCATCTTCTGACTCGCCTATCCACTCCAACCTTCCCACTGACTAATCACAATAACCCCCTACCTACCTGCATTCACCTATCACCATCCCACCAGCCCTACGCCCCCGGCCCCCTCTATTTACTTCTGGACACCCCTCCCCCTCCCCAGTATAACAAAGGGTTTCAGCCCAAAACATTGACTTTCCTGCTGTTTAGACATTGTCTGATCTGCTGTTCTTTTCCAGCTTCACAACTATTGACCCTTCTTAAATGAAGATTTACAGCTTTCATAAAGTCATTTAACCCCTTAATACTTCCTCTCTCATTATGTTTATTTAATCTAGTATTTTAGAATTTGTTCATCTATGTTGAACCACTGTTCTGAAAACTGATGAAAATATTTATAAAGAGTCATTTTAAACTCCTCTATCCATGATGTGTGGTTTATCCTTACAGTCCCTGACCTGATTGTTAATCTTTTGCTGTTTATGTAGTTACATTTTTAAAAAGCCTTCAGGTTTTCCTTGATTTATGATTTTCTTTCTCTTTGCTTTCTTTATGACATCTTTAAATTTTCACATTTTATCCTCTGGATTTATGGAGTATTGGGCCCTCTGCTATAAGCTTTCCTCTTTTCTTTATCCTCTCCTTTGAACTCCTTGACCACCAGGAGCCCCTGGATTTGTTTGTTGATCCCTTTTATTTTAATTGAACATTAAGGCCACCCCATGAGGATGCTTCCTCATGTGGAGCAATCGAGGACAAGAGGTCATAATTTTAGGATAAGGAGGTAACAGATTTAAAACCGGGATGTGCAAGCATTACTTCTGTCAAAGGGTCATAGAACATAGAACAGTACAGCACAGTACAGGCCCTTCGCCCTACGATGTTGTGCCGAACTTTTACCCTAATCCTAAGGTCTATCTAACCTCCACCCGTACCTTATACTGTCATCCATATGCCTATCTAATAGCCGCTTAAATGCCCCTAACGAGGCCGACTCCACTACCCTCTCCGGCAATGCATTCCATTCCCCGACCACTCTCTGAGTAAAGAACCTACCTTTGACGTCTCCCCGATATCTACCTCCACTCACTTTAAAACTATGCACCCTCGTAATAGCTACCTCCACCCTAGGAAAAAGTCTCTGGCTGTCCACTCTATCTATACCTCTGATCATTTTGTACACCTCTATCAAGTCACCTCTCATCCTTCGTCGTTCTAAAGAGAAAAGCCCTAGCTCTCTCAACCTTTCCTCGTAAGACCTTCCCTCCATTCCAGGCAACATCCTCGTAAATCTCCTCTGCACCTCTTCCAATGCTTCCACATCTTTCCTGTAATGAGGCGACTAGAACTGGACACAATACTCCAGATGTGGCCGAACCAGGCTTTTGTATAGCTGGAGCATAACTTCACGGCATTTGAACTCAATCCCTCTATTAATGAAAACCATACACCTTCTTGACAACTCTATCCACCTGGGTGGCAGCTTTCAGGGAACTGTGGACATGAATCCCAAGATCCTTCTGCTCCTCCACACTGCCAAGAATCTTTCCATTAACCCTGTATTCTGCTTTCAAGTTTGTTCTTCCAAAATGAATCACCTTACACTTTTCACGGTTAAACTCCATCTGCCACTTCTTAGCCCAGCTCTGCATCCTATCAATGTCCCTTTGTAACCTAGAACAGCCCTCCGCACTTTCCACAACTTGACCCCCCTTTGTATCGTCCGCGAACTTACTAATCCATCCTTCCACTCCTTCATCCAAATCGTTTACAAAAATCACAAATAGAAGAGGATCAAAACTGATCCTTGTGGTACACCACTCGTAACTGAGCACCATGTTGAATATTTTTCGTGCACTACCACCCTTTGTGTTCTAAAGGTCAGCCAATTCTGAATCCAATCTGCCACATTTCCCCCTATCCCATGCCTCCTTACCTTCTGCATGAGCCTACTATGGGGAACCTTATCAAACACCTTACTTAAATCTATGTAGACCACATCCACTGCTCTACCTTCATCCACGTGTTTGGTCACCTCTTCAAAGATTTCAGTAAGGTTTGTGACGCATGATGTACCCCTCACAAATCCATGCTGACTATCACGAATCAAACTGTGCCTTTCCAAGTGATCATAAATCCCATCTCTCGGAGTCCTTTCCAATAATTTGCCCACCACTGACGTAAGACTAACTGGCCTGTAATTTCCAGGGTTATCCCTATTCCCTTTTTTGAACAAGGGAATGACGTTTGCATCTCTCCAATCTTCCGGCACTATACCCGTGGACATTGAGGACGAAAAGATCATCACCAAAGGCCCTGCGATCTCTTCCCTCACTTCCCGTAGAATCCTTGGATAAATCCCATCAGGCCCGAGGGACTGATCTGTCTTCAAGTTCCTCAAAATTCCTAGTACATCTTCGTTACTAACATCAACCTCTTCTAGCCTACCAGCCTGTTTCATACTGTCCTCCTCTACAACTAGGTCCCTCTCAGTTGTGAATACCGAAGAAAAGAATTTATTAAGGACCTCTCCTATCTCTTTAGGTTCCGTGCACAAATTCCCTTTACAATCCTTGATCGGCCTTACCCTTTCTCTGGTCATTCGCTTATTCCTAACGTTTGTGTAAAAAGCCTTGGAGTTTTCCTTGATCCTCTCTGCCAAGGTTTTCTCATGCCCCCTTATAGTTCTCCTAAGCCCTTTCTTCAGCTCCTTCCTGGATAACTTGTATCCCTCTAGAGCCTTTTCCGTTCCTTGTTTCCTAAACCTCATATAAGCATCCTTCTTCCTCTTAACCAGTTGTTCGATCTCTCTTGAGAACTAAGGCTCTCTCACTCGACCACATCTTCCCTGCCTGCTGGGGACAGACATATCGAGCACACGCAGTATGCATTCCTTAAACAATTTCCACATTTCAATAGTGCTCTTCCCTGACAGCATCTGTTCCCATTTTATGTTACCCAGTTCTTGCCTAACAGAATTGTAATTACCTTTCCCCCAATTATGAACCTTACCCTGCTGTATGTACCTATCCTTTTCCATGACTATTGTAAAAGTAACAGAGTTATGATCACTACTGCCAAAATGCTCTCCTGCCAACAGGTCTAACACTTGGCCCGGTTCATTGTCAAGCACCAAATCCAAAGTGGCTTCTCCTCGTGTTGGTCTATCTCCGTACTGTGTCAGGAATCCTTCCTAAACACACTGGACAAAATCTGCTCTATCTAAACTGTTACAACTGAAAAGTTTCCGATCAATATTTGGAAAGTTGAAGTCACCGATGACTACAACCCTGTGACTTCTGTACCTTTCCAGTATCTGCCTCCCAATCCGCTCCTCCACTTCCCTGCAACTATTAGGGGGTCTGTAAAACACCCCCAACAAAGTGACTGCCCCTTTCTTCTTCCTGACCTCAACCCAGACTGACTCTGTAGACATGTTATTCTCGAACTGCCTTTCAGTAGCTGCTATACTAACCCTGACTAGCAATGCCACTCCCCTGCCTCTTTTTCCACCCTCCCTATTTCTTTTAAAGCATCTAAATCCCAGAACTTCCAACAATCATTCCTGTCCCTGAGTTACCCAAGTTTCTGTAATGGCCGCAACATCGTAGTTCCAAGTACTAACCCATGCTCTAAGTTCATCCGCCTTATTTCTGACACTTCTAGCATTGAAGTATACACACCTCAAACTGTGTCCACAATTACGCTCCATTGACCGCATTTCTTTATTAACAACCTCACTCCCTGTTGTGTCTGTTGGAAGGCTGAATACCTCATCCTCTGAAGTACAAATCCGGTTCCCCACCCCCTGCCAATCTAGTTTAAACCATCCCCTATGGCTCGGGCAAACCTCCCTCCCAGAATATTTGTGCCCTTCCGGTTCAGGTGCAACCCGTCCTTACTGTACAGGTCCCACCTTCCCCAGAATGTGCTCCAATTATCCACATAATGGAAGCCCTCCCTCCTACACCAGCCCTGTAGCCACGTGTTTAGATGCACTCTCTCCCTATTTCTTTCCTCGCTATCACATGGCACTGATAGTAATCAAGAGATAACTACCCTGTTTGTCCTGGACTTCAGCTTCCAACGTAACTCCCTGTACTCATTTTTCACATTCTCAGTCCTTTTTCTATCTATGTCTTTGGTACTGATGTGTACCATGACTGCTGGTTGCTCACCCTCCCCCTTAAGGATCTTGACAACATGATCTGAGACATCACGGACCCTGGCACCTGGGAGGCAACATACCATCCGTTCACCTCGTTCGCATCCACAGAGCCACCTGTCTGTGCCTCTTACTATTGAATCCCCCACTACAATTGCTCTCCTATTCTCTCCCCTTCCCTTCTGTGCCACAGGGCCAGGCTCAGCGCTGGAGACCTGACCGCTATGGCCTTCCGCTGGTAGGTCCCTCACCCCGCAACAGTATCCAAAACGGTATACTTATTATTGAGGGAACGGCCACAAGGGATCCCTGCACTGTCTGCCTATTCCCTTTCCCCTTCCTGACAGTCACCCAGCTACCTTTTCCTTGTACCTTGGGTGTGACCACCTCCTTATAACTCCTGTCAACCTCCCAAATGATCCAGAGTTCATCCAGCTCCAGCTCCAGTTCCCTAACGTGGTTTGTGAGGAGCTGGAGTTGGGTGCACTTCTCACAGGTGAAATCAGAGGGGACGCCAGCAGTGACCCTTACCTCCCACATCCTGCAAGAGGAGCGTGCAACTGCCCTAGTTTTCATTCCCTCTACTCTAGATTTCCAGAAGAATGAAAAAAAGCCTTGCTTTACCTTACTGACGCTCCACACAGTCTTTTTTTTGGTTAGAGGAGGAGGATGGGTGGGAGACACTACACGTGTAGTGTTTCGAGTTTAGCCTATGCCCGAATATATTAGTTCCTTCCTGGCTCGCATTCTCTCCACACACCCGCTGCTCCAAACAAGAAGGCCGCTGCTGCACGAGGTAAGTTTTTATAAAGGAAAAAAACCTTACCTTCCCGTCGGCGCCCTGGCTCGCGCTCCCGCTGCTCCAAACAAGAAGACCGCTGCTGCGCGAAGTAAGTTTTTATAAGGTCATGAATCTGTGGAATTCACTGTTGCAGAGTGTGGTGGATGCCAAGACATTGAGTAAATTTGAGGAGAGAGATTTTTAGTCAGTAATGGGCTAAAGGGTTATGAAGAGTGGGCGAGAACGTGGAATTGAGGTCAACATAAGATCAGGCATGGTTGTATTAAATAGCAGAGGAGCCTCAAGGGCCTTAATTGTCTACTCTTGCTCATAGCTCCCTATCTCTTCCTTGAGTGCCTCCCACTGACCTGGCATTGATAAACTTGCAAGAACCTGTCTCTAGTTGACAGCTAAATCACATCTCAGCTGAGGAAAATTAGCTTTTGTCCAGCTGAGATATGTATTTTCTGTTTTATGTTTATCCTTTTCTATAGCTACGCTGTAAGTCAAACCAAATTGTGACCAGTTCCACAAAAGTGCTTCCCAAATTGATACCCTTTTCCCTGTTGCCCAGCTGCTTTCTCTAAAACTAAATCCAGACCTATTTGTTGATGGCATTACGTATTGGCTAAAATGTGTTCTCATGAGCAAAGAATTCACATCCCTCCATAACATTCATACTAATGCTATCCCAGTTAATATTAACGTAGTCCAGTTGTTGCATTTCAGAGATTTGCTTCTATATTTGCCCTTCTATTTCCCTTTGATTGTTTGGCAGTCTAAAGTGCACTTTCAGTCTTGTGTGTTTCGTTTTTGGTTCTTCAGTTCAATCTGGTGACTTGTGATGACCCTTATGCCATATCATTCCCCCCTCTCAAGTGTAATTATTTTCCTTCTTGATCTAGAATTGGTACTAACCTCTGTTCCCTCTCACCTGTCTCAGTTATCGGTTCATGGACATGTTCCCAGATGTGAGTCTTGTGCGAGAGATCCAGATCGAGCTGGACAGCATCATACAGATTGGAGTAAAGAATATCACTCGTCTGATCCGTGCTTCGGATTCCATCTCCACGACGATTGCTGCAGGAGCTGAAGATGCTTCTGTCCATGGAGGAACATGGACAAATGAGAGGATAAACATGGAGGATGTGAATTCCAAGGGTCAAGTCTACATTGGATCTAGACGGATTCGAGGGTCTAAAACTTTAGGCTACAGAGCAGAGGATTATAAAGCAGAAATACCTGGGAAAGCTGGTGACTCTCTGAGTGCCAGGCTGGTTCAGCAAGGACATTTGACAGCTGAATTATTGCAGCAGCTTCAGGAGGAGTGGGCAGCCAGCCATGGTCTCCAAACACCCAGAAATGCCACGACCCAAGAACCAAGTAAAATCACATCCAAAGGATTGAGGAAGAAAAAGAAATAAATTCAGCATATTTATTCTACTCTGAATATGTTCTCTCCACTTTAAACAATAAAGAAGTGATTGGACTAGGTGCAAAATACCAGGTTTTTCCAGTTTGTTTGATATCTTTGACTGCCAGCTGCACAGAAATCAAAGTAAAGATTTTCCATTCAGGCGCTTCCCCGGTCGTCTTGAAGTTGGAATCATGGTGTCAGAAGCCATACTGTAACTCTCAGTAGTTCATACAAGTATGTGAGATCCTATCAACCCATATGGGTTAGAGCATCTAGTATTTGCATAATGTTTTGAGTTAAGGGGGCAAGATTTAAAAGAGAAGGGAGAGGTTTGAGGATGGCATTCCAAAGCTTAAGGCCTTGACAGCAGAAGACAGGGCCATCAGTGGTGAGGAGCTTGGGGAATAGGCAAACTTTTAGAGAATTTTGTATGATGAGGAAATGCTGTTCTTGTATTTCAACAAAAAAAGTCAAGGAGAGGGAGCCAGTCACATGAGACATGATATTTCTTCGCTCAGATAGTGGTGAATCTTTGAAATCCTCTACCTTAGAGGATGTGAAAGCTCAGCTATTGAATGTGTTCAAGACAGAAATTCACAGATTTAGAACTTTGAAACAAGAAGGGGATGGTACTGTATCATAGACACCCAAATAGCCAGCAGGTGCTAACTAAGAAGGTAACTAAATTCTAAAAGCAGAACACATTTTGGGATCATGGATAAGCAGGTGAAACCTGTTGCTTGCACTTGTCCAATTTTGGAATTGTCATTGGGGTTTGTGGTGTGGGAGCGCCAAAGTTCCTATTAAAAAAATAGTGAACCTGAGGATTAGGAGCCTAAGGGGAGAAAAATAGAGAGAGTGAATTGAGAAGGAATATTAAAGTGGACTGTAAAAGTTACTTTGTGTAAAAAGAAAAGGATCAGTGCAGATAAATATAGGTCCTTATGGTCTAAAGAGAAGAATAGATAGTGGAAAGCAAGGAAATGATACAGCACTTAAACAAGTACTTTAGCTCTGCCTTCATAGAAGAAGTCACAAATAAGTTTGCAGAAATGCTAAGGAAGCAAGGGTCTATTAGCAAGGAGGAGTTGAAGTTAGTTTTCAAAGAAAGAACTGCTGGAGAAATTAATGGAACAGAGATCTGATAAATCCCTGGAGCCTGATAATTCACATCCTTGGGTGCTAAAGGAGATGACCATGGTATGCACTGGTTGGTGTTGATGAGGGAATTAAATGTAACATTTCTAAGTTTGCTGACAACCCAAAAATTGATGTTTGAATGATGATAAGAATGCAAGGTGGCGTTAAGGCAATTTGAGTGGGCAGGTGCATCATAAAGTCTTCATATTGTATGAAGTTATCATTTTAGTCGAATAACATTGAACATTGTGCAATTATGAACAAACATTCTTCCCTCTTCCCACCTGAAACCCAAATTGATCATCTCTGATTTAACTTTTCCACCCTGTCTTTGGAATATTTCTAAACAGAGTGGTCAATCAGATCAATTGTGTAAAAACAAGAACATTGGCATGCCTTTAGCTTCTTTCTTACGGTGATCATTATTGTTCTGTGTGGTAATTCTCCTGTTCAGTAAATATCTTTGTATTCCTTAAACGTTGTAAAGTTTGTTCCCATATTTTTAATTATCTATAGATATTTCATTTATCCAGCTACTTTTCCAGGTATTAATCTCACTTCTTTCTGCCCTTGCCTTACTCTAGTACCTCTGGTACAGATTAATTCATGTTAACACTCTGTTTCAGATTTTTCATTTTTGTAGGTAGTTCTTCAATATGTTCCTTGGATCTTATTTCACCAGTTTATCGTTAAACATCTTTCTTTCTTTATGTTGTTGTTGTTTTCAGTCCTTTAAGCTAAGTGTGCCACCTTTACTTTTGCATATTCAATGTTTACACTTCCTAGTCAATCTAATTCTTTAAGCATATTGTATTGATAGTTTCATTGACTTGTGCCTTTCCATTTCTCTCGGGTCTTAGCTTGTCATTTTTCAGTATTGATATTCTTCCATTTTCACCTTCCTCTCCATCTTTTGCAACATTGTAGTTGTAACCTGTGGTTTCTTGATCCTTTTACCTATTAAATCTCTATGCTGTTTACCTGCTTCCTGGACAGATTCATTCATCTGGTTTCATTTCTCATTCACATTAATAGATCCTGATCTTTTCTACCTCTGTCTTTGCTTATTTCATTTGCAAATTTGGATTTTCCAGCATCTCCACGTTACATTGTTGTCACCATATTACATCTTAGATCATCTTCAGCTGGAGAACTATTTAAGTTTTCACAAGATTATAAACAGAGTCTGTGGTGACTCCCTATTTCTCTTGTCCATTTTAAGTCATAGAGTAATACATCTTGGAAAAAGGCCCTTCGGCCCAAACTGGTCAATGCTAGTCCCAATTGCCTGCATTTGGTCCATATCCCTCTAAACCCTTCCCATCCATGTACCTGTTTAAATGTTGCTATTGTACCTGCCTCAACCACTTTTTCTGGCAGCCCATTCCACAAATGCACCACCCTCTGCATGAAGAAGTTGCCCCTCAGGTCCTCCTTAAATCTGTCCCCTCTCACCTTAGACCTGTGTCCTCTGGTTTTCAATTTCCTGGGAAAAGACTACATGCATTCACCCTATCTATGCCCCTCATGATTTTATATACCTCAATAGGGTCGCCCCTCGTTCTCCTACATTCCAAGGAATAAAGCCCTATCCTGGTCAACTCAGGCCTCCTAGTCTGGCAACATCCTCGTAAATCATCTTTGCACACTTTCCAGTTGAACTATGTCTTTCCTATAACAGGGTGACCAAAATTGTACACAATACTCTAAGTGCAGCCTCACCATCAACTTGTACAACTGTAACATCCCAACTCCTACACTCAGTGCCTTGACTGATGAAGGCCAGCACCGAAACGTCAGCTTTCCTGCTCCTCTGATGCTGCTTGGCCTGCTGTGTTCATCCAGGTCTACACCTTGTTATCTCAATATGCTAAATACCTTCTTCACCACCCTGTCTGTCTGTGACGCCGCTTTCAATGAACTGTGTACTTGTACTCCTAGGTCCCTCTGTTCCACAACACTCCTTAAGACCTTACCATTTACTGTACGGTTTGACTCTCCAAAGTGCAACACCTCACACTTATCTGTATTAAATTGCATTTGCCAATCCTCAGCCCACTTCCCCACCCAATCAAGATCCCTCTGTAATTTTTGATAACCTTCTTTGCCATCAATGATACCTCCTAATTTTGTATCATCTGCAAACCTACCAATCATGCCTTGTACATTCACATCGTAATTGCACATTTATGTAAATAACAAAGGTCCCAGCACTGACCCCTGTGACACACCACTAGTCATAGGCCTCCAGTCCGAGAAATAACCTTCAACCATCACCCTCTGCTTTCTACCATTGAGCCAATTTTGAATCCAATTAACTAGCGCTCCCTGAATCCCATGCGACCTAACTTCATGACTAACCTGCTGTACGGGACCTTCTCAAAGGCCTTCCTAAAGTCCATATAGACAACATCCACTGCCCTACCCTCTTCTATCTTCGTGGTTACCTCTTTGGAAAAACTCTAAAAGATTTGTCAGACATGACTTCCTGCGCACAAATCCATGCTGACTATCCCTAATCAGACCTTGACTATCCAAATGTTTGTTGATCGTGTCCCTCTCCAATAGCTTGCCTACCACTGATGTCAGGCTCACTGGCCTGTAGTTCCCTAGCTTGCCTTTGCTACCTTTCTTAAACAATAGAACAACATTAGCCACCTTCCAGTCTTCCGAAACTTCACTAGTGGCTAAAGGTGAAGCTAAAATCTCGCAAGGGCCTCTGCAATTTCTTCCCTAGCCTCCCACAACATCGGAGGATGGACTTGATCAGGCCTAGGAGATTTATCCATCTCAATGCACTTTAAGGCTACAAACACCTCCTCTCTGATAATATGTATGTGGTCCAAAACATCTGCACTTGTTTCCCTTCTTTCCTCAGCATCCATGTTCTCTCCTCGGCAAACACTGAGGAGGAATATTCATTTAAAATCTTCCCCCTTCTCCTGTGGCTCCACATGTAGACGGCCATGCTGATCTTTTAAGGGGACGTATTCTCTCCCTAGCTACCTTTTTACTCTTAATATAGCTGTAGAACCTCTTGGGATTATCTTTAACCTTATCTGCCAGATCAAACTCATACCTACTTTTTGCTCTTCCGATATCCCCCTTGAGTGTGCTCCTACATTTATTATAGTCATCTAGGGATTCACTTGAGCCCGACAGTTTAAACTCCATGCATGCTTTCTTTCTCCTGTCCAGAGCCTCAATATCCCTCAGCCAGGGATCACTAAATCTGCCAGCTTTTCCCTTCACCCTAACAGGGACGTACTGGCCCTGGACTCACACTTTTAAAAGCCTCCTAATTGCCAGTCGTTCCTTTTCCTTCCAACAGACTCACCCAATTGACCTCTGTTGGAACCTGCCTAATAGCCCCAATATTGGCCCTGCTCCAGTTTAGCACCTTAACCTGTGGACCTGTCCTATCTTTTTTCTATAACTGTGTTAAAACTGAGAAAGTTATGGCCACTGGACCCAAAGTGGTCTCCGACTGACGCTTCAGTCACTTGCCCGACCTCGTTTCCTAGGAGGAGGCCCAGTGTTGCACCCTCCCGAGTAGGGCTCTCTACATATTGATTTAGGAAACTTGGACACATTTGACAAATTTCACCCCATCTGGGCCTTTTATGTGCTGGTTGGCCCAGTTAATACTAAGGAAATTAAAATCTCCAACCAATACTATATTATTCCTACAGGTATCTGCAACCTCTTTACACATCTGCTCCTCCAGCACCCCCTGGTTATTTGGGGGTCTATGATACAGTCCCAACAGAGTGACCATCCCCTTCTTGTTTCAAAGTTCTAACTGTACGGCCTCATTTTATGACCCCTTAACAATATCCTCTCTAAGCACTGTTATGTCCTCCCTTTTCCTGGAGCGGTGGTTTCGGCCCTGCAGAGCAGTCTCCTGGCATGGTAGTTTTTGTCCCAGTGTTGAGGTCTCTGCAGC